TCCTTGTTTCAAGATCATCCTCGGTGGATAAAGCCGAGTCAAGGCATAAACAGTAACAAAGATTACTGAAAAATCTTGTTCCCCTAGTTTGAAGGAATCGGTGGTAGATCTTACATCCCGTAACATACCACGAAAAGGTGATCTACCCACGTTACGGGGCAAGCTGATAAGGTTACTAGAAGTGTAAATTAGAACCTCGTTAATATAGGGTTAACTACCCCATTTCCGGCCTATTAAGCACAACCCGCACTTAGTCTTTCTTAATCTAGCACAGTTTAGCACCAAACGGAATGTTATTATTACTGATGGCTTCGACATTTATTTACCTTTCCATACGTACCGTAAGATTTGATAAAGAGAAACAAATCGGTGAGATATTGTCAAAAGTCTAACACTGCTTCTTGATGCCAAACTCGGCCTACGGATTCTAAACTCGGCCTAATGTATTGAAACGCCATTTAACCGCCAATGAATTAACTTCGGCCTATTGGATGAAGATAAAACATGATTCGGTCGGAGCGCTCCTTTGTTGTTGGAAATAATGGATGCAAACCTTCATATCACGCGTTCTCAGTGACTTTGTTCGGTAGCTTATTAACTAAAGTATTGTACCAAACGCATAATTGACTTGTTAACTCTGAAATCATGGATTTATTTAAAGTTTTTTGCTCGATAGGCCCAAAATGGGTGGTTAGGCCGAAGTAGTTCTCTACCCTACATGAAGTGCCGTTCAGATTAGCGGGGGTCCACGGTATATCTGATATCACATAATATAGGCTTTCTTGATACCATATTACATTACGTGATATCAACTATAGTCTGATACCCCGTACAGACTATGACTTATATCGTGTAATATAGGGTGTCTTGCAATGAGCTCAATGAGTATGAGTGCTCATTGCAAGACAGCCTATATTACATGATATAAGACATAGTCTGTACGGGCAGGGCTGGTAGCGATCACTGCTGTCAGAAATAGTGGTTTTAGTGACCATGTTGAAGAAATAAGTGATCAAATAGTGACAATTGTAAAAATAGTGACTAAAAACTGACCTAAGACCAAGAAATTTCCAAGAATCTGCATTCAAATTCCATGAACAGTTTTAAAGACCCGAGGAATTTTATTATAATATCTAAGGACCTCATTCCAAGGGAGCTCTGGAAAAAAAATCATTCAGGAAAACATCAAATGCAATCGAGGTAGTTCTGAGGAATTTTAGATTTCTTATGAAGCCTTAGTTTTGAGTAGACTTACAAGAAATCTTAGGAATTTCTGAGGAGCACAACTCTTGTGAACTTCACCGGAGAATTCCAAGGACATTCTGAGGATAATTTCATAAAGTTTGTGGGAGAAAACGAATCCGGAGCAGAAGTCCTTGGAATCTTTATGAAAATACTAAAAGGAGCATTACAATTAAGTCTGAGAATAACTCCAGAACATGTTCAAAGGAATTCAGGAAATAATTTCAGAACAGTTTGCCAAACAAATTATGAGAAGAAATCTAATGAATTTCTGATGAGAAATGCCAATGAATTGTTAGGAGACTTTCAATGTAAGTAGAATTCTAAGGGAAGGAGTGAGATTCAAAAAGAAATCTGGAATGAATTCAATTAATACTCCGAGAATCTTTCCAAAGAATTTCTAATTGTGGAAAATTTCAAAGTAACTCCGAAGAAAACTAAAAGATAATTTAATACTGAAGATAGCTTCGTCGAGATTTTGAGGAAATCTCCGTTAAATATGGAATGAACTATTTTGAGGTCTTCGGAATCACTTGAAAATTCTCAGAATTTTCCTGAAGTTAATAAAACTGCCTTGAAGTTCTTTTGTAGTTTGATAAACTAGCCTGATGTTCACAATACTTCTCCTCAAATTCTGAACTTTATAGGACTTTCTAAAGTTTCCTATATTTTTCTAACGATCATGGATCTTCTTTAAAGGTTTGACAATTTACTGAAGTTCTCTGAACTTCTTTAAAATTTATGTAACTTCTCTAATGTTGACGGAACTGATCTGAGGTTCTCTGTTCTTTTCTGAAATTCCCAAAACTTCTCTAAAGTTTTTGCAGTTCTCATGAAGCTTGTTGTACTGCGCTGAATTTAATTAAATCGTCCTAAAAATGCTTCAATGCAAAGACCACAAAAAAAAAAAAAATTAACGTCTCTTAAGTTATCTGAAAATCTGGGAATTCCTTTAATTTTCAAGTTTGCGGATCTCATCTCATCAAGCTCCATAGATTTCTATGGAGTAATGTTTCTGAAGACCACTGTCCTTCTGTGAAGTTTCTTCTAAATTTCTGGAATTTAATGGGGTTATTCTGAAGCTATCTGATCGTCCTCGAAGTACTCGGAACTTCGCTGAATATCATTAAACTGTCTAAAAATATCTCAATTTAGTTCTCTGGAATTTCTTGAAGATATCGCTGCTTGCTAAAAGTTCTCTTCGTTGATGTTCTTTAATTAATTTACCTAAATTTTCACGTTTTCCGGATGTCCATATAATTTTGATCACGTTTCAGATATTCTCTCGGAGCTTTGCAGAAGTTTCCGGAAATTCTCTGAGTTTCTTGAAACTACTACAATTTCCTTGAAATTATTTGAACTGCCTTTTGATTATCTGATCTGCCTAGATGTTCTCGGAGCTCCCCTAAAGCTCTCAAGCTATTTACGATTATAGATTTCAAACTGCTCCAAAAGTCTAGACTATAGTTACGGGAACTGCTCTTAAGCTCTGAAATTCCCCAAAGATTTCTAGATCCAGCTTTTCTGAGGTGCTTAGAACTTCTTAGAAATTTGCACAATACCCCTCAAGTTTTCTTAAATTTCTCAAGTTCGTTTGATACCTGTGAAGTTCTCTGAAATTCTAGGAACTTCATAAAAGTTCCTGAAAAGTCTCGGATGCTAAAAGAACCGCTTTGATTGTAGTCGAAATACGTATCAGTCATGGATACCAAAATTAATTAAGTGGAATTAAATGGAAGATAACCTTTTTTGCTGTTTTATTTAGCATTCCGCTAACAACCCAATTTCATTACTTCATTAAGTTTCCCATATTTTTAGCGTGGTAACTTACCTTACGTTCCTGCAGTTTGTTTAAAGGGCTTCACTGAAATTCTCAGCATTTCCTTCTCCAAAGTTCTTACTATTGTTGTAAAGTTAATGGGCCTACAACGATGATCTCTATTCTTTCATAAAGTTAATTACGAACTTGAAATAAATCAAGAAACTTCAAGACATTTAATATTTTTAGATCTTGGACTTACTTACTTGGAAAACTCAGGTAATTTTATCCAGAAAAATGACATCCTGTATGATTAAACGTCACAACGAGAAGAATAATCAATCTTGAAATAAATTCACTCTAAAAAAGTTGAAAATAGTGACTTATTACAAGAAAAAGTGACTTTAGTGACTTGGCCTTAAAAAAAGATACTTTTTAGTGACTGACTTGAAAAAAGTGACCAAGTCACTAAAAAGTGACTCGCTACCAGCCCTGTGTACGGGGTATGAACGTAATAAAATGTCATCAGGGTAGGCGTATAAGAATGCATGAGAAAGCTAATACTAGGTCTGTTCCTGTACTTGCTTTTCTGTAAGATTATGTTCAGCAAAAACCGAAAGCATGTTCCCGTACTTGCTGTATCATATTATTTTTTTACAGCAACTTACAGAAAGCTGCAGCAACCTAGCTAGTTTGTTTGAAGGTGAGCCGCTAGGTTTCCAGACAAAGTGTTATTTTGGAACACTCTGCTATGTAACCCCCCGAAGCGCGCGATAGGTAACAAATTCTACCCACCGCTTTGCAAGTCACTAGTTCAAGGGCTGACACTGATTACATTCAAAAGATTAGCTAGATTGATTAGATTGATTGCATATATTCAACACTTGGTGTAGTGAAGCTCTACTTCAACTGAACGTAAAAAAATGTACCGCAATAGCATTCAGCAGAAAAATTGAAACACCACACATTGAAATATCATTGGGCAACCAAATAGTAGAAAAATGTAAAATTGTAAGAGATCCAGGCGTAATCCTAGACTCCAAACTATGTTTTGCAAAATATTATAATACTATCATTAGTAAAGCAAACAGAATGCTAGGCTTCATTAAAAGGTTCAGTTATAATTTCGAAGACCCATACATTATTAAGCTATTATATACCACATATGTAATAGTACGTTCAGACTACAGAGTTATAACATGTTATAGCACTATCTTGATGGTGGTTTCCGAGTTGCAATTAACTGCTCAGTCTGGACGAGGCTTAGGACCAATTATGGAATACTGTCACCTAGTATGGAATCCATACTTTTCCATACACGAAGAACGCATAGAATCTGTCCAAATACAATCCCTTTTATATACTTTACGTAAATTGAATTGGACTGCATTTCCATTACTATCTTATGCGATGCACACTCATCAATATACAAACACTTAAGGAGCGCCGCCAATTTGCAATGCTTTTCTTCATCAACGCCATTATTTCACTGCGCACAGATTCGGCAGAAATTCTCGCACAATTAAACTTTTAGGTACACACCTTTTCGACATCTTAGAACACGGAATTTATTTTCTGAAAAATCTTGCAGAACAAATTATGCACAAAATAGCCCAATCAATCGAATGATTAGCCTGTATAATTTGCATTGTGGAATTGTTGGCATAACTATGTTCAAGCAGCAAATAAAAATTAAGCTAAAACAGAATAGAAATAATGCATCGTATGTAACTAAACATTGTAAAAATCATTGTATGTAGTCTACATTGACTTGACGAAATGAAATGAATGAATTAGAAAACAACTGAGTAAGATCGGAGGTAGAACTTAACTACCTACCTACAGCTAAGCATCATTCCTAGCTGCACGGACTCTGTGATATAGAATAACACCACGCTCCCAATCGAATCTCTCCGGAAACGAAAAGTAACAACTTATTCATTGAAATTTCACTTTTATTAACTAAGACTTTCCGCTCTCGTACATAACCTACTATAGCTTTTTTGTTTGTTTTGTTTTTTATTAATTCATTATCAGTATTTTAAAATACGCTTCTTCGCTTTGAGTTTTTTTTTCTAGTTTGCTACTACGCTAATACATCAGTTTACAGTATATAAATAAATAACATCACAACGCTTGCAGTACATTTTTCATCTTCTTCTTCTTCATCATCTCCTGCTACGACTCCACACTTTTACTCCGCAAAAGTCCACGTTAAAAACATTCAAGCCATATTACACGCACACACTGTTCTGCTGCTGCCGGATCCATTTTCCATCTAGTTAGCAGAGTGGTTGTAGTTTTGATTTCCCATGCCTAGGCATGTTTTGACTGTCTTTGCTACTTTGTTATGAATTGTTTCCTTTCTTTTTTGCTGTTGTCACTACTACCTAGTTAGTTTTGTTTGCTTTGTTTCACTAACTCGTCCGATACTGTTGTTGATTTTGTTTCACTGCGGCTTTTTGTGTTGCATTCACTTGCTTGTGTTATTTGTTTGTTTTTGTTTTGCTTAGCTTCACACTACTTGATAATGATCACAATGTTTTTTTTAAGTTTTAACTGTTTTCAGGACTGAATTTGGCCACTACTCTCTATCACTGGTTGCAGAATTAGCACTAGCAGAGGCTAGTCTACTTTCAACAGTAGTAGTAGTTGTTGTAGTTGTGTTATTGGAGGATAATGAGCCGGAGGATGGCAAAGTGGACGAACTCGGAGATGGCTGCTGCTCTTCCATACAGCTCTTGTTTCGATGCCGTATGGCGTCACCTTGGCTGTAGCCAGCGGCAGCAGGTGACTGGTTCAGTTCGGATTTGCTTTTTTCTAAATACCTGGTGCGGGGGTAGAAGATTAGGGAGTGGATTAGTTATTGCTTGTCGTGCATCTGTGTACAGGATTCCAAATGGAAATTGTTACATAAATCCGAAGACATCGTATCAACAAGAATGGAAACTTTGCCAGAATCCAAGTGATAGATATTGTAGCGCTGCACTCGAGCGAAGTTGGCATATACTGTGGTTCAAACTTTTGAAAAATCAGCAAATTCACAAACCATTCTTCTGAGGTTTGAATCATTACTATCCAATTTGTTCGGAGCGTTTACATTTGAGCAAAGCTGGATATCCAATTGATTTCATTTTGGTGATTTGCAGAAAGAATTCCAATCAAATTAAAGAAAGAATTCCCAGAAGATTCCAGAGGGAAATTAAATGAATTACCGGACTGAAATCTATTCTTATTCTAGATGGAGGTGCAAGGGAATTGCACAAAGGATGCCAAACGAAATCCAGAAGGAATTTCAAGCAAATTCAAGATGGAATTCTAAGCAAATTCCAGACGAAATTCTAGAGGCATTTAGAAATCCAAGGACATAGCAGAAGAAATTTCGAAGGAAATTCAGGAAAGTTTCAAAAGATTTCCAGAAGAAGTTCCAAGCCAATTCCAGAAGGAATTAATCAAGAATTCAAGAAAACATTTCAAGGAGATTCCAGCAGAAACTTCAACAGAATTCTAAAGGCATTGTAGACGGAAATCCTCAGGGCCCTTTCAGACGAAATTCAAAAGAAATTCCAGGAATAGATTCGAGTGAATTCTATTAGTAGTCCAAGAGAAAATCCAGGCTAATTCTAGAAAGGGATTCCAAAAGATCTCTAGAAGCAATTTCGACGTAAATTCAGAAGGAATTCCAACGAAATTCCGAAAGTAATTCAAAAGGAATTTCAGAAGAAATTTCATGGGGAGTTGAATGAATTCCAAGTGAATTCCTAGAAAATTAAAGAGAGAATTTCACCGAAATTCAAGAATGGATTCTAACGGCTTTCCAGATGGAGATTATTCAAAGTGCATATCCGACTGGAATTTCAGAATTGATTCCAAGAAAATTCCAGAATTAATTTTAAGAAAATTCCAGAAAGAACTCCAGAAATTCCAGAAATAGGACGTAATATCGGAGGAGCTCTAGATGAAATCCCTCAGAAACTTCTGAATTCCAAGAGATTTTTTTTGGATATTTAAAAAAAAATCAGCTTTGCGATTTGCAGAAAGAATTTCAATCAAATTAAAGAAGCAGTTCCCAGAAGATTCCAGAGGGAAATTAAATGAATTACCGGACTGAATTCTACCCTTATTCCAGATGGAGGTCCAAGAGAATTTCACAAAGCATGTCAAAAGAAATCCAGGAGAACTTTCAAGAAAATTCAAGAAGGAATTCCAAGCAAATTCAAGATGTAATTCTAAGCAAATTTCAGAGGAAATCCTAGAAGCATTTAGAAATCCAAGTGCATAGCAGAAGAAATTTCAAATGAATTCCAGGAAAAGTTTCAAAACAATTTCAGAAGAAGTTCCAAGAGAATTTCAGAAAGAATTAATCAAGAATTCAAGAAAACATTTCAAGGAGAGTCCAGCAGAAACTTCAACAGAATTCTAAAGGCATTGTAGACGGGAATCCTCGGGCCCTTTCAGACGAAATTCAAAAGAAATTCCAGGAATAGATTCGAGTGAATTCCATTAGTAGTCCAAAAGAAAATCCAGGCTAATTCTAGAAAGGGATTCCCAAAGATTTCTAGAAGCAATTTTGACGTAAATTCAGAAGGAATTCCAACGAAATTCCGAAAGTAATTCAAAAGGAATTTCAGAAGAAATTTCATGGGGAGTTGAATGAATTCCAAGTGGATTTAAGCATGAATTCCTAGAAAATTTAAGGAGGGAATTCCAAGGAAATTAAAGAGAGAATTTCACCGAAATTCAATACAGGATTCTACGAATTTCCAGATGGAGATTATTCAACGTGCATATCGGACTGGAATCCCAGAATTGATTTCAAGAAAATTCCAGAATTAATTTTAAGAAAATTCCAGAAATAACTCCAGAAATTCCAGAAATAGGACATAATATCGAAGGAGCTCTAGATGAAATCCCTCAGACACTTCTGAATTCCAAGAGATTTTTTTGGATTTTTTTTTAAGAAATTCAGCTTTGCGATTTGCAGAAAGAATTTCAATCAAATTAGAGAAGGAATTCCTAGAAGATTCTAGAAGGAAATTAAATGAATTACCGGACTGAATTCAACCCTTATTCCAGATGGAGGTCCAAAAGAATTTGACAAAGGATGTCAAAAGAAATCCAGGAGAACTTTCAAGAAAATTCAAGAAGGAATTCCAAGCAAATTCAAGATGGAATTCTAAGCAAATTCCAGACGAAATCCTAGAGGCATTTAGAAATCCAAGAACATAGCAGAAGAAATTTCAAATGAATTCCAGGAAAAGTTTCAAAAGATTTCCAGAAGAAGATCCAAGCCAATGCCAGAAGGAATTATTCAAGAATTCAAGAAAACATTTCAAGGAGAGTCCAGCAGAAAGTTCAACAGAATTCTAAAGGCATTGTAGACGGAAATCCTCGGGCCCTGCCAGACGAAATTCAAAAGAAATTCCAGGAATAGATTCGAGTGAATTCCATTAGTAGTCCAAAAGAAAATCCAGGCTAATTCTAGAAAGGGATTCCAAAAGATTTCTAGAAGCAATTTCGACGTAAATTCAGAAGGAATTCCAACGAAATTCCAAAAGTAATTCAAAAGGATTCATAGGGAGTTGAACGAATTCCAAGTGGATTTAAGCATGAATTCCTAAAAAATTGAAGGAGGGAGTTCCAACGAAATTAAAGAGAGAATTTCACCGAAATTCAATACTGGATTCTAACGACTTTCCAGATGGAGATTATTCAAAGTGCATATCCGACTGGAATTTCAGAATTGATTTCAAGAAAATTCCAGAATTAATTTTAAGAAAATTCCATAAATAACTCCAGAAATTCCAGAAATAGGACGTAATATCGAAGGAGCTCTAGATGAAATCCCTCAAACACTTCTGAATTCCAAGAGAATTTTTTTGGATTTTTTTTTAAAGTAACTCAGCTTTGCGATTTGCAGAAAGAATTTCAATCAAAGTAAAGAAGGAATTTCCAGAAGATTCCAAAGGGAAATTAAATGAATTACCGGACTGAATTCAACCCTTATTCGAGATGGAGGTCCAAGAGGGAATTCCAAGCAAATTCAAGATGTAATTCTAATCAAATTTCAGAGGAAATCCTAGAAGTATTTAGAAATCCAAGGACATAGCAGAAGAAATTTCAAATGAATTCCAGGAAAAGTTTCAAAAGATTTCCAGAAGAAGTTTCAAGCCAATTCCAGAAGGAATTAATTAAGAATTCAAGAAAACATTTCAAGGAAAGTCCAGCAGAGACTTCAACAGAATTCGAAAGGCATTGTAGACGGAAATCCTCGGGCCCTTTCTGACGAAATTCAAAAGAAATTCCACAAATTGTAGACAGAAATCTTCGGGCCCTTTCAGACGAAATTCAAAAGAAATTCCATGAATAGATTCGAGTGAATTCCATTAGTAGTCCAAAAGAAAATCCAGGCTAATTCTAGAAAGGGATTCCAAAAGATTTCTAGAAGCAATTTCAAAGTAAATTTAGAAGAAATTCCAACGAAATTCCAAAAGTAATTCAAAAGGAATTTCAGAATAAATTTCATGGGTAGTAGAACGAATTCCAAGTGGATTTAAGCATGAATTCCTAGAAAATTGAGGGAGGGAATTCCAAGGAAATTAAAGAGAGAATTTCAACGAAATTCAATACTGGATTCTAACGACTTTCCAGATGGAGATTATTCAACGTGCATATCCGACTAGAATCCCAGAATTGATTTCAAGAAAATTCCAGAATTAATTTCAAGAAAATTCCAGAAATATCTCCAGAAATTCCAGAAATAGGACGTAATATCGAAGGAGCTCTAGATGAAATCCCTCAGAAACTTCTGAATTCCAAGATATTTTTTTTTAATTTTCTTAAAGAAATTCAGCTGGGAATTCCACATATACTTCAGAAGGCAATCAAAGAAATAATTTCGATTAAATTGTGGACGTAGTTTCTAACGAAATTCCAGAAGAAATTCCAAGAAAGCTTCAAAATAAAATCCATGGGCAACACAAAGGCATTTTAAGGCAATTTTAATGGAATTTCTAATGGGGATCACAGAAGGAATTGAATCAGAATTAGTGGAGAAATTTCAGAGGATTTCCAGCAATAAAACGACGAAAATTTCAAATCGAATTCCACAGGAATTCCAGAACGAATTTTAAGGAACTTCCAGAAGAAATTCCAAAGATATTCCATAATTAATTCTCCAGAGACATTTCAGGAAAATTTCCAGGGTAACTTCAGAGTTAATCCCTATAAAATTTCAAGAAAAAAAATGTCAGAATGAACTTCCAGAGAATTTTAAAATGAATCTATACGAACTGTAGATGAAATTCCAGGGGCATTCCATGAGTTATGTCAAGGAAATTATTAAATTAATTATTTGCTAATTTCAGGATGATTTTCAACGACATTCCAGAAGAAATGGAAAGTAAATTCTTGAAGGAATTTTAGAAGCTATTCCAAGGGAATTCCAAATGTATTTACTGTGGATCTCCAGGGAATGATTTTCATAGAAATTTCAGCTGAAATTCTAAAATGGCGACAATTTATGCGACGGTTTCGGCGCGTTGTGCCTCATTAAACAGAAAATATATTCGTAATAAATTAAAATAAAATACAGAATACACTTCTTGAGAATCGCACATGGAAATTCTTGGAGAAATCTAGAATAGATTCCGAAATAATTGTCGTTCAAATTCAATGAGAATTCCAGAAACAAACACATCTTTATTCCAGCGAATTCCAAAAGATAATTTCAAGGAATTTCAGGAGACAATTCAAATGAGATTTCGTAAGGTCTCCCAAGAGAATTACAGAAGGTTTCCACAAGGAGTTTCAAGGGCATTCCAGAAGG